AAAATCATATAGTAAATTATTAATAAGATTCTAGTTAAATAATTTAAAATAATCAATTTTATCACACAACAATAAAGAAATACTAATAGTTAAGAAAATACATTTGTACTCTTCCTATTAGAAAAAGAGAGGATGTTATAATTCTTTTTTTCCTTAAGATATCACATCTCTTCTATCAATAAAATTTAAATATAAAAATTTATTTAAAAATAAATTTATCATAAGTTAGAAATATATATTATAAATATGGATCAAAATAAATAAGAAAGTTTAAAAAATTCATATACTCTAATTAAAAAAATGCCTAAAAATACAATGGTAAAAAAAAATACTCTAAATATTTTTTCACATAAATAACTATTGGTATTAATTATGTAGGAGTGCATATAAATTTTTTTATTATTATAAATTAATGTCTTGCTCTTACAGAAAAAGAAAATGGGATTGATACTCAACAACAATATTATCATCACTTTTAAGCAATTTATAAATTTTTTAAATTTTTATTTAGCGACCAAATAAAATTCCGTAGCTAACTAATATTTAGTAGGGGTGTTCACAAAACTATTTAAAACTAAACTTTTTAAATAACTAAACTAAACTGAACTAAAATAAACTAAATTATTTTTTAATAGTTTAAACCAAACTATTACTTTTAGTGTAGTTTATAAAGCTAAACTATTAAAATTAATAGTTCAGTTCACTAAAATCAAATACAAGCACTGATTCACGGAGACTACCATGTTCGTCGTACGGACTCGCGGAAACGTAAGGTATTCTGTTCGGACTGAAGCACTGAAGCACATTCACGAAAACCAAATGCCATGGTAGCCAGTTAATATGAAGGAGTAGGAGATTTTTTAGGTAACAGTGCTCTCACACCCACAGGATGCAAATATTACCAATTGATTCTATTTCTATCTCATTACTGACAACATACCTTTATTATTTTCCAAAAGTAAATAATAAATTACATATCAGCATTAAAGTTAAGGGATTGATGTCAATGTAATATTTGTTTTGTATTTCAAATTATTTTAAATTTAATTTATAATTAATATCAATGATTTGGTAACTGAATTTAAAAATATTGATTTTAAATTTATTTTTTTAATGTAGTTTAATTTAGTTTATAATTAATAAATTTAATTTATAATTAATAATAATTTAATTTAATTGATATTATAGTTTAGTTCAAATTCTTAGAACTATAGTGCACTAATCTAGATGATAGTTTAGTTTAGTTTAGTCAATATTTATTTTAGTTCAATTTAGTTTAGTGAACTATTTATTATAGTTTAGTTTAGTTTTCTTCTAGTTTAGTTTAGTTTAGCAATTTGAACACCCCTAATATTTAGTGACCGAATTGAATTCCGTCGCTAAAAAAATCAAAATTTCTTATTTAGCGACCGAATTTAATTTTGTCGTTAATTTTAACTAATGTTTAGCGACGAATTCAATTTTGTCGCTAATTTTAACTAATAATTAGCGACCAAATTCAATTCCATCGTTAAACTTAACTAATATTTAGCGATTGAATTCAATTTCGTCGCTAATTTTAACTAATATTTAGCGACCGAATTCAATTTCATCACTAATTTTAACTAATATTTAGCGACCGAATTTAATTCGATCGCAACGTTTTTACAATTTAATAGCTAGCGATCGAAATAGCGACCGATTTTATAGCGACGACTTATTTTAGTCGCTAAATCAGTCGCTATTTTGATTATTCAGAATCGGTCGCTAAATAGCGACTGATAAATTTCGGTCGCTAATTTCGGTTGCTATTTTGCAATTTTCTAGTAGTGGGGATAAGCGATGACACTTGACACTCTATGATTGACTCTTTTAGATCTAAGTGTCTCCTCCTTTTCTCTTAGGAGACAAGGTGACACTTGGCACTCTATGATTGATTCTTCTAGATTTACGTGTCTCCACTTTGTCTAGTTTGCACTACAAGCTTCTCCACCACTATATATTTGTTTCTCTATATGTAAAACTCACTTTTGAAAATTTATTGGAGATTGTCAATATTTTTCTCTCATATTCTCTCTCTCAAAAGCTTAAATTCTCTTATGATTTGTTTTCAATTCTCTTATCCTCTTCTTATGAGTGTGGTGAATTTAAAGTGGTTTATCTTCTTCCTTGAAGTGATACCACTTGAAGAGAGTTCTTCACCTTTGAAGGTGAATAACGAGTTCTTCTCTTCTATTGGATAACTCCTTGAAGCTTAAGAAGTGTCAAGAAGTCAAAGATCTAGGAAGAAGCTTGAAAGAGAAGTTTCATCAATAAAGTCTCTCCTTGAGGTTTCCAACATTGCTTATGTTCGGCAACCAAGGTGTGAGAAACATTTTTACTTGAGTCCCACGGTAGTGGATGCCAAAAATGTTTCAGTATGAAAAATGCACTAAAAAAGACCTAGACACTATCCAAGTTCAAAACATTCAAAATTCAATAAGTGTAACTTGTCTGCTCAAGCTTATGAGTCTCCTACTATATATCAAGTTCATGTTTGATATTAGAACCCCTTATCTCTTGACCCCAAATCCGTAGGTGACATTATACCCTTATTATTCTTAAATGATTATGCAAATAACAATATTTATAACTATTTCAAGTACATATTACTAATACTATAAGATCTCGCAAATTGCGATATCTTCATAACTCATGTCATGAAGTTGTCACTAAAAAGTTGAGACACATCACTGACCATAGAATTGCTGATCTATCATTGGGCATGTCATCTTCACAACACATATTGTAATAAGTGTCATTCAAATGTCGAGACATAATCTTGGATTGACATTAGACAATACAAAAACAAAAATTATCTTTCTGAGATTAAAATACCAATTTATTTTAAGTAATATTGTTCTTGTTACAAAAAAGAACATTTTAAGTATTGTTTGCTTTCAATACTTTACATGTAATTTGATCTTTTTTTATTTTAAATGATTTAAAATATTGTTTATAAACTTTAAATATTATAAATTTAATGGAATTCTTTTATTTACAATATAAATGTAAAACAATTGAATCATTTTGTCATTTCAAATTTTACAATTATGAAAATATTTAAATTTAACATTTTTTAAGAAAAATTTAAATATAAGTTTCTTATATAATTTTATAAATATTTTAAATAAAATAAAAAATATCTGTGAATCTATAACTAAATACATGTCTTATTATAACATGCGTCAAAATTCAAGCAAAACCATATATTAAGACATCATTTATATTTTATTCCTTAACTAGTTTATCCTATCACATGAATTATTTTCCGGAGGACAAACTCCAGGTAGGTTCGGTTTACAGATCGACTTGACTTTGTTCTAGATGCTGAAGGGATTAGTAGTAGAAATAGGAAAAGCCATTAAAACCATAGATAAAGTCATCATATATATTTTATTCCTTAACTAGTTTATCCTATCACATGAAAGTGATGAAACATTTCCCTGAGGAGAAACTCTAGGTAGTTTCGATGGTACAAATCGACTTGACTTGGTGCTACAAGCCGAAGGAATTAGTAGAACTAAGAAAAGTCATTAAAACCGTACGCGGAGTGCCAATCAAATGTCGTAATATACGTTTGAATAAACATTAAAAGTCAAATAATTTTACTTATCTTTTTGTATGGAAAAGTATGATTGATTAAATTATATATATATATATATATATATATATATATATTAGGATATAAATAAGTCTCACATGATAAATAACTCCAATGTAAGAGAGAAAATAACAACTTATACAACACATACATACTCCAAGCCTTTTTAGTGATAACCAAAAACAAAATTGTGAAGACTTAGGCCCTAAGCGGACAATATCTCATCATTATAAATTATGCTTGTATAATAACCTTATAAAAATAACCCTCATAAAATATTCCCTTAGACAAATACCATAAAATAACTCCAACAACATAATATACACATCTTTCATAATAAATGCATTCTGAGTTATTCATAACAAAACATTGTTAATGTATTCAAGTCTACTATTTGTCAACTGTATCAGTGTTCTCATATTATTTTAATCTTATAAGCTTTTCAAAGAATGAGGGAGATTTTTCATTCCACAGCAAGAACAGAAGAATTTTCCCAGAAAAAAAATAAGCTAAGGAGTCAAGTTTTGCATATCAAAAATAAATATTGACCTAATCGAACCAGACTAATTGTATAATATATGGTTTAAAAAACAAAGGAGTGATGCATCATAAACATTTCTGAACTCATAATTTGGCTTCAAATAATCCCTTTTTGATGATCCTCACCCTGTCTGAAACTATTACAAATCCTCCAAATTAATCAAGGCCACGCTTGGGCTCTCGGCCATTTCATTAACAAAAACATGCACCTCCCTTGGTTAGTCAAATATCAATTAGCAGCAACCATCTTCGTTATTGTAGCACTTACCAATGTTACCTGCTTATATTTCAATTTCACTACCTTCAAACCAGAGGATGAAGCTCGTTTATTGCTGAACCAGAATTCAAAAATATACTTAGATGTCATTCAAGTGACCCCTGATATTCGTGGCCCCATCTCAAACTATTCTGGTAGGGTCTTCTATAGGGAACAGCTGAAGCTATGGGACCGTGAAAGAGGCATGAAATCCTCATTCAATTCAACATTTGTTTTCAGTGTTGTTCCTGTAACCTCTCCTGGTGGTGAGGGATTTGCTTTCATATTGACAGATGACGCCTCTCTTCAAATTAACAGTGGAGGGCAATGGCTTGGGATTGTCAACTCAACAAGCATTGGGGTCACTAACATAGTAGCAGTGGAGTTTGATACAAGGAAAAGCTACCCTGAAGATATTAATGACAACCATGTAGGGGTGGATGTAAAGAGCATCTATTCCATTAAGCAAGAACCTCTTGGACCACATGGTGTTAATATTTCTAGCGGCACTAATGTTGTTGCTACGATTTACTTTGATGCTAACGAAGGGAAAATGACCATTTTTGTTTCTACATCAGGAGATTTGAAATTGAGGACACCAGTGCTTACGGTGGAACGTGATCTCTCTGAACTGCTTCCAGAAGATATTTATGTGGGATTTTCAGCTTCCACAGGAGAATATACCCAGATCAACGCAATAAGATCGTGGAATTTCTCTAGCTGGGAGGAGTATATCGAGAAGAATCCCAAAAATCTAACATGGTTATGGATCTTGATTCCAATAATTGTGGTTGGAGGAGCATGTGGGCTTGCTGCTATAAGCTATTGGAAAAAAGTAAACAAAAAGAAACATGGGATGGAGGAAGATTTGCATGTAGAGCTTGAAATTAAAAGCTCATCTAATGCTCCACATAAATTTCAGCTAAAGGAGCTTCTAGCAGCCACAAGAAATTTCCACTCATCAAACAAGCTTGGGAAAGGAGGATTTGGCATGGTTTATAAAGGCACCATAAATGGTATAGATGTTGCTGTGAAGAGGATTTCAAAGAATTCACGTCACGGTAAGCAAGATTTTATAGCAGAAATCACCACCATAGGGAATCTCAATCATAAAAATCTAGTGAAGTTAATAGGATGGTGCTATGAAAAGGGTGAGATCCTCCTTGTGTATGAGCTCATGCAAAATGGGAGCTTAGACAGATTCATTTTTTCCAAATCAGGAGGGGATTTAACTCTGAGTTGGGAAAGGAGGCTTAGTGTTATACGTGGGGTTTCTCGAGCACTAGATTATCTTCATAATGGATGTGATAAAAGAGTGCTACATAGAGACATAAAACCCAGCAATGTGATGTTGGATTCAAACTTCAATGCTCGAATTGGAGACTTTGGCTTAGCTCGCACCATTCATCTTAGTGAAAAATCTCACCACTCAACTAGAGAGATTGCTGGAACACCGGGGTATATGGCACCAGAAAGCTTACACACCCGAAGGGCTTCAGTTGAAACTGATGTCTATGCATTTGGCATTCTGATACTGGAAGTTGTGTGTGGAGGAAGAAAGGGTGAACACATACAGGATCTGAGATGCTGTAACAGCATTGTGGACTGGGTTTGGGAGCTTCATGGCAGAGAAAACATAACTGATGCCGTGGATTTGAGACTGAGTGGTGATTTTGATGAGGCTCAGGCCAAGTGTGTGCTTGAGTTGGGGTTAGCATGCAGCCATCCTAACCCATATGAGAGGCCATCAATGAGAACTGTGTTGCAGGTGCTAATTGGGGAAGCAGCTCCCCCATTTGTACCATTTGAGAAGCCTGCTTTCACATGGCCAGCCACTGCTCCTGTTTTCAATGAAGAGATGAATTACCATGTTACAGTATCCCAAAATGAACCAATAACAGAACTGACTAGCGGGAGATGATGAATCACACTGTCTCAAAAATTAAAGCTTTTTCATCTGAATGAAAAGGGTCATTATTCGGTAAATGAGTTACCTGGAAAACCTACATTTGTGGTTAAAACTGGTGTTTTTGCTATCATTGTTGTTAAACTGGGAAAACTTTTCTACAATTACTTTTTTCCTTATATAATTATGGATGCTTGTTTTAGTGGATAATGTTATGATGTAGTTATGTTTGTTTACTTACTTGGGTAATGAATGTTCTAATAAGTATCTAATTTTAGATAAATTTAAACACTTAATGATAGTGGACACATGTTCTTCCTAAGAGTAAGTATAAGAATGATGTATGATTGTCATTTATAGTGTATTTCACATATATAAATGAAAAATATGCGGAACAATATGGTCATTCAACAAAAATGAAGTTGTTCTGTTCTCCCATTTTCTTCTCTGTTTATGAATTTTATGATTTATGGTTTTATTGTTTCAACGTTATTGCATGTTTCAACAGTAGTAGAGCTTTGTTCTTGTCGGTTGTGGGATTTGAAAAAATTGGGAGGAGAGATTAAATATTGGTGTGTGATCAAATGATTTCAGGGAGTAATATTGTCTTAGTTGTTCCTCCTGAGAAAAATTATCACATATTTGTTGTCAAAATGAGATTTTGCTTAAAGTATTTTGGCATATGGAAGTGTATAGATCAAGATAATAAAGTTCCATCATTGTTCAATAAATTGTTTGTAATTTTAACAAGTAAATTGTCCAAGTTATAAAATGGAGAGAGTTCTAGTATCAAATTCAAAGAGAGTACCACAATCCTTTTGTATATTTTTGTCTTTCTATTAACTCCGGTATATAAATAGATATTTGTTTGTGACATAAAATTAAATCAAGTATCATTAAAAGAATATAAAGTTGATGTTGGAATGTTACCAAACAGTGGATGAGCAAATTTATTTTGTATCAGTATCGATACGCTTTCACTAACCATTACCTTATGCAATTAAATAATTATTAATCCAAATTAAACCAATTTAAGTGAGTGAGTTAAGTTTTTTTGATCAATCTCCCGATCCCGTAACAAGATTTATCAAACAAGTAGCTCTGATCGAGGGTTAGCGATGCTTAACTGATTTTGACCTATCCTTATAATCAAACACAATTAATCTGCAGTGAATATTCTAGGAACAACTCAAAAAATAATCAAACTCAATTAGAAATTTCTTTTTACAATCTTCAGTTTAACAGTATTTCCCGATATCCATTAACCTAGGTGGTTAGTCTCGTATAAGCATTAATCATAGCAAAAAAAATGTCTAAATAAAATTTATATCACAAGCCAAAAAGTTACATGAGCTATGTCTAACTCTAACAGAAGTTGATTAGCCACTCATGGCTATCCTACATATGCAAGTAGAATAATATGTTGAATTCTGTGGTGCAGTTATGATAGTGTTTCCGCCTCCCCCTTCCTTTTCAGAGATTTTGAATTCTATTTCATACGTGCGTACCCTAATGGTGTGTTTGGATGAGGAATTTATATAGGGTAATCGCATCAAATACGAAAGTCACGGCCCCCTCAAAGCCCAATGCCTGGCAGACTTCATGGCCGAACTAACTCCAACCTCGGCCGACGAACAACAGGTATGGATCTTACATGTTGATGGGTCCTCCAATTCTAAGGGTGGGCTGATTGCGCCTTCTACCACGGCCAAATAGAGGAGGAGGTCGACTTTGTGATCCGGCCTCTGTAGGATTAGTGGAGATGTGAGGAAGGCTTTGAATCTCTTGAAGGCCTCTTCGCATTGGTCTGTCCACTCAACATTCTTTGGCTTTCGCAACAGGGTGAAGATGGGCCCTGCCTTCTCCACCAACTTGGGGATAAAACGGGAAAGGGAGACCAACCTTCCTACCAGGCGCTGGACGTCTTTCACGGTTTGAGGGCACTGCATCTGGATTATGGCTTTGCACTTCTCCGGGTTGGCCTCTATCCCCCTGCTAGTGATCATAAAACCAAGGAATTTACCTCCTTGAACGCCGAAGACGCACTTTTCCTGGTTGAGGCGCATGTTGTGCTTCCTGATCTAGTTGAACACCTCGGCCAGGTCGGCAACATGACCTTCAGCCGAGGTAGTTTTGACCACCATGTCGTCGACGTAACCCTCCATATTCTGCCCGATCTATTGGTGGAAAACTTTGTCCATCAGCCGCTGGTAAGTGGCCCCTGCGTTCTTGAGACCGAATGGCATCACCCGGTAACAAAAGTTGGCGTGGTCGGTGATGAACGACGTATGCACCTCGTCTGGTGGGTACATCATGATCTGGTTATACCCGGAGTAAGCGTCAAGGAAGCTGAGGAGGGCGTGCCTGGATGCTCCATCAACCAGCCTATCGATGCTTGGCAAGGGGTACGAGTCCTTGGGGCATGCTTTGTTCAAGTCGGTATAGTCAACGCACATGCGCCACTTCCCCGAGCTTTTCTTTACCAGGACCACATTTGCTAACCACGTGGTGTATCTGACCTTGTGGATGAAACCCGCGTTCAGCAGCTTTTGCATCTCAGTGATGATGGCCTCTCGCCTCTCGCCACCGACCTTCCTCTTCCTCTGGGCCACTGGTTTCGCCTCCT